AAAACAGTTGCTTGCTGTTCTGTGTAAAACAGTCTTAAATTACGTTTTAAATGCCCCAAATATTGATTTTAAAAGCCCTTGATTTTTCAGAAGCATAATTTACCCTTTTGGAAGTTTCAAATCAACCTCAAGAAGATATAAAATTATTTACGCTACACTACAGAAGGCTTATTTATTACACAAAAGGTGCCAACATCTGGTGTTTTCCTTACATTTAGTTCTAAAACAAACTAATTTACTCTGATGACTGAGACAATACAATATCAGCGCTCATCCATTTTTCTTGCAGTCTCTCTAAAGCATTCAATATTTTTTCAACTGAAATAAATTATGTAGGCCTCAAATTTTGATGAGAAATTTAGTGTGAACATTGATCTGTTTTTGTACCAAATGAAAGATCTTTAAAATCAACTTTGGTTTTTGAGAGTAAAAGTACTTGGAGTTGGTTTTTACATTTCATAGGAATTACATCCTCAGTATTTGTATGTTGAATTAGTTAGGCCTTTCTTGTCTCAGATTTCCAGTGGTAGCTAGTTTACTTCAAACTACTGACCATGATCCCCTGGAGCCAAGTGGAATATATTAACTCTTTTAAAGCTCCAAGAAACCATTGGTTAGCTTAAAATTCATGAGAATATCATCATAGGCTTCCCTGGTGACTCAGTGGTAAAGAATCTACTGCCAATGCAGAAGATGTAGGAGACATGGATTCAGTCCTTCTGTCAGGAAGATCCTCTGGAGAGGGAAATGGTAATCCACTTCAGTATTCTTGCCTGGACACTGGAACTTGGCAGGCTATGGTCCATAGGGATGCAAAGAGTTGGATATGACTGAAACGACTTAGCACACATTCATGTACATGTTATCAGTAACATTATGTTAGAAGGACCAATCTATGTAAGCAATTTGTTCTTAATTATTTCTTCATAGGATATGATTTAATAAAAATGGCTTATTCTGTAATAACATTTCTCTTGTCAAATACTGAGAAGAGAATTGGAAAGCAAACAAGTGGAGAGACATAATCCATAGATTATGAACTCATTAATTCAACAAGTAATCATGGAATGCTAATTATAGTCCAGGTATTGTCACAGGTGATGGGAACACCTTTATCATCTACAATAAGTCATTTATTGATACATTCTTAACTATTCCCTTATATTAGGCTATTTATTCACAAATAAGATGGTATTCACTCCACTCCTAAATATTCCCTTAAAAAGTATTCTTATTCAACATTTTTTCCCTCTGGGCTAAAAATATCACTTACACATGTAACATCTTATTTTTCTCCTTAACTATGGATTCAACCAGAAAAGCACCAGGATGCTTAAAACTTCCTGTAAAGAAAATCCTTCCCCAGGCTTCCCTGGTGGCTCAATGGTAAAGAATCTGCCTGCCAATGCAGGAGACACGGGTTTGATCCCTGGTCTGGGAAGATCCCACCTGCCATGGAGCAACTAAGCATGCACACTGCAACTATTGAGCTTGTACTCTATAGAGCCTGGGAACCACAACTACTGAGCCCACATGCCCTAGAGCCCAGTGCTTCCCAACAAGAGAAGCTACCACAATGAGAAGCCCAAGCACCACAACTAGAAAGTAGCCCCTGATTGCTGCAACTAGAAAAAAGCCCCCATAGCAATGAAGGCTCAGCGCAGCCAAAAATAAATAAATACAAACCTTTTAAAAAGCTGGAAGAAAAATATGTGTAATAAGCCATTGGGAAAAAAGAAATGCTCCCCCAAGTAACCTTTACTATGATGTTTGCAATCACAAAAAATGTTCTGAATTTCCTTCTCCCTAGGCACATTTGAAACCTGTATAAGTGACTATTTTGAAAAGCTAAAAACAAAAACAAAAACAAAAACATTGTATTAAATAGTTCACTATTAAGTTGATCATTAATAACATAGTTTTATTAATTTTTACTAATTATCTTGGGCTAGAAAATGAATAATAACCTATTTTTTAATGCTTTGTCACTGATTTAAGCTGTTCAGTTCTTTGGCTCCTCCTTGGAAGCCTAAAATATTAGCAGTGTATTAAATGTATCTAAAAATGAAAAATACAAGATTGAAAAATTTACCCAGCTGTTTGTGTTTAAATAAAGATTACCTTTCTTTTATACTTTTCAACCATGCTTTTTATGTCCTGAATTTACAGAGTTCTTTTGACTGATCTGCAGAGTCCTAACATGTATGTTTTATCTGTACCTAGCCACAATTACTCCTTTTCTTTATATGGACTAGCTTTTTGAAAACAGTAATAATTTAAATACTTAAATATTTTCCCAAAGTGTATAAAATGCATATATTTGAAGTTTTTAGCTCCTATACATATTTCATGATTTATTCTGAATCAAAGTATTTGCAAAGGTCTTAACACTGACACTTCAAGTTAACAAATTCAAATGAAAACTGGCAATGGGGGGAAAGAAATAGAGAGCACATATGGTAAAATAATTACCAATATATTGATAAGTATTTTAAATTTTATTTGAAGTTGTTTCCTTTTCATATATTTTATGATCACAATGATGTAAAGCATGTAGGCTCATAAAATATGAAAAATTATATTCCGTTAGTTTTTTCTTTTGTCAATGTAAATGAAGAATATATCATTAACACTTTTCAAATTTTAGGTACATGTATATCAATATGATGTGCATTTTTATTTTTCTAGTAGATTTAAGCTTTTACATGCTATAGATATTTTTTGTCAAGCTCATATAACTGATACTGTTTTTAACCAAGGATGTTCATCACAGCATTGTTTACAAATGTAGAAAACATTGAAAAACATACAAATCTCATTTAATAATGAACTACTTAGATAAGATATAGTACATCCACACAATGGAATACTATGTAGTCACTAATTGATGATACAGATTGGTATTTATTGACATGAACAGATGGTTATGTTTTGGCTTAAAATTAAAAAAAAATACATATAGTATGTTTTCTTTTTTTTGTAAAACAGTGTGTGTATACATAGGGGGAAAGGCATGAAAAGATAAGCACACAGTTAAAAAGTTAATAATGGTTGTCTCAGAACTCTGGGAATTTTACTTCCTTTTTTGTAAGTTTCTGCATCATTGTATTTGTTTTACAAGGAGCATGTATTATGTTTATAATCAATAAAAACCATAATTTCCATTTGAAAATGTTTGATAATGAATATACAAGTAGTCTGTAGATAAACCATCGCATGAAAACAAGTTATTCTCATTATTTTATGGGCAAAGAGTTAAAAGAAGTCTTAAAAATTATATATTTATATTGTTTTATATATGAAAGATTTCTACATAAAGTAATAAAAATCAACTGAGAATAGAGATAAAATAGTTTCTTATGATTGGATTTGTGGTATGAGTGAATGCTATTTTTTAAAAGTAATAATTTAAGTTTTACATAAGTTAAGTATTTATTTCTCTAACTCCAAAATGGATTTGAACTGGCATATATCAAAAGAAAGGCAATCCCAAAGAAAAGGGCTTCCCAGTTGGTGCAGTAGTAAAGAATCTGCCTGCCAATGCAGGAGACACAAGAGACATGGGTTTGATCCCTGGGTTAGGAAGACCCCCTGGAGTAGGAAATGGTGACCGACTCCAGTATCCTTGCCTGGAAAATTCCATGGACAGAGGAGCCTGGTGAATTACAGTCCACGGGGTCCCAAAGAGTCGAAAATGACTGAGTGACTGAGCAGAGCAGCAGCACAATCCAAAAAAAATAAGAAAGTAAGTGTAATACAGATTGAAAGGTAGATGGGTGTGGACAAGAGGGAACTACAAGTGAAACACAGAAAATCCATAATATAGAAGTCACAGGGCAAATAACATAACTGCAACATAGAACAGAATATTTTGTCATAACTTTCAAGCAGCTAGACAGAAAGAGAACCACACTGGATTAAGAGATCTCATATGATAGATGGAGGCATGCCACTTAATCAAGAGAGAGGACCTTTTCCTTAATTTTGAAACATCTGTGAAATTATTTTGTGAATATATTCAACAGTCTACAAGACGTAATGACAAGTTTAATAGAAGCTGTTCTTCAAAGTAGTTTTCAACATCATTACATGGAATGTTTACCTTCTATATTGACATGACAAAGGCTGAAGGTAATCCTAAAATTAACTATAGACAAAGGCAATTCAATGTTGTTATTCACCCTTTTTGTTAATTAAACACAATCCAAATATACCTACTAAAGAGTTTAGCAAAACAAGCGATAAGAATGCTCCTTAGCCTGTCTTCAAATATTAAATCTCTCAGGAAAGGTTTTTAAGATGAAACTTAGAATTTAAAAAATCAATCTTTAAAGTGTTAATCTTCTAATGTACTGATTGGTAAAGTACCAAAATGTGTATTGAAGTTATAAAGTTAATAGTGGGAACTCTCAAAACTTACTAAAAACCACTATGAAGTCTGTGGTATGCCCACAGTATAATAAAAAAGGGGAAAAATATAAATAAATAAAAAGAAAAAAAAGCTCACATCTTTAAAAAGGAATATTCATTTTAAATAATAATTTAAAGTAAAATTATGCATAAACATTAACTGGATCACATACACTTTCCCCTGCTCTACTGATTTCTCAAAAAGCAACTTAGAAGTTTTCACTGTGATAGACTCAGATGTAAGGACCTAATAGAAATGAAATTTAGTAGTATTAGTGAAATAAGGAAGGACATATTCTCAATTACCTCACCTTGACTGGTTTAGGACAAGTGTGTGGAGGAATAAACTTTATTCTATATATTCCTAAGGATATTATATCGAAAAATAGTACAAAATGACAGTTTTACAATTAGAAATTATGTTTTTCACTAAAATGAACAAGGCTTTCTGGTTTCACTTTTTTTTTTCCCAAAAGAAAGTATTCACTTAAAAAAACCTGTTAATTGACATAAAATAACCTCTTATCACAAAGTAGCCCAAACTAAGTAGGCACCAGCTTAAGGCTGAAACAAATTGAGCATTCTTATCCTTACCACCTGCGCCTGGCCTGGCCCAGAGTGACCTGCAGGGGCTTGGAGCCCACTATGCGACCATTCATCTCATCTACTGCTTTGGTAGCCTCTTCAAAAGAGGAGAAGCAGACAACACCAAACCCTTTGCCTTGCCCCACCTCCACCATCACTTTGGCCCGACTAATTGATCCAAAGGAAGAAAATTCCTCCTTCAGTTTTTCATCATCAATGGTCTCGTCCAGGTTCTTAATATAGATAGGCACCCCTGGAGGCCGACTTTTTTCTTTTAATCTCAGCCGCTCAAATCTTCTCCTTAACTCAGCAAGACGTTCAATTTTCTTCTGTGCTCGCCCTACATAAAGCACTTTCCCATCGATGGACTTTCCATGCAGGTCTAACACAGCCTTTTGGGCAGCCTCATGTGTCTCATATCTTACAAATCCAAAGCCTTTCGATTTCCCACTGGCATCTCTTATTACTTTAACACTCTCAGTTGGCCCATACTCACTGAAAAGTTCCTTCAGTTTGTCGTCATTCATATCATCTCCAAAGTTTTTAACGAAAACATTAGTGAAAGTCGCTCTATCCCTAGTTCTAACTTCAGCAGCCCTCTCTTCCGGAAATTTGAATCTGCCCACATACACCTGGCGGTTGTTGAGCCGCACTCCGTTCATGTGCCAGATGGCCCTATTGGCAGCGGCCAGGCTGTCAAAGTGTACATAGGCATAACCCTTAGAGCCGTTGTCATCGCATACGACTTTGCAGGAGAGAATGCTTCCAAAAGCTGAAAACAGATAAAAAAGGGCCCTGTTGTCAATGGATTTGTCCAGGTTTTTGATGAATATATTTCCAATTCCAGACTTTCTTAAGCGGTCATCTGGCTGAGACCACATTAGACGGAATGGTTTGCCGTTAATCAAATCAAAATTCATGGTGTTCAGTGCCCACTCAGCATCCGCAGGAAAGCGGAAGTTAACGTAGCCATAGCCCAGGGGGCTGCGGGTCACCGGGTCACGGCAGATTCGGGTGAAGCGCAGAGGTCCAGCAGGCCTGAACTTTTTATATAACATGTCCTCGGTAACATCTGGGTCCAAGTCACCCACATACAGGGCAGCCTTGAGGTACTTCTTTTTCTTGCCAGCAGGATTAGGCTCCCCACTCCCCATCTCTCTGAGCACAGGGAGAAGGCTCTCTTGGGAGAGACAAAAAGGCTGCTTTCTCTAAGCTATGGGCCAAACAGCTGTTCACAAACAGAATAAAGCCAAGGCGAAGAAAGCTAAAAGCAGACTCAGAATCACTGTTGAGGCTGAGAAAATGAAGTTCAGAAACAGCTGGTCAGCAGGCTCAGAACAAACGCATCAGACAAAAAAGCACCCCAATAACGAATCTATTCTCCCTAAGGGGGCTTAGAATTTCCACCCATTCAGACCTAAGAGCAGTTTCAAAAGCTAGTAGTAGGAGAGAAAATGTCTCTTTTCCCGCTAAATAGTAAGAAATCACCAAGCAGCTGGCTGGCTCCCCACATCTAGCCTTGCCGACAGAGGCCTCACGACCAATTTTCTGCATAAAAATAGGCCTCAAGCTCCCCTGGGTTTAAAATGATAACAACAAGGGCAGGGGCCGAACGTGTATTCCTCCGCCGGCTGCCTGGCCGGTCTCAGGCGGGCTGGCGGCTCACTAAGGCCGCGCTACGAGACTCAGCGTCAGCGAAAGGGCAAACTGGACACTTGGTGCGCTGCGGCCAGGCGGGCAGGCTGCAAGCAGCGAATCGCACAGAGAGACAGACAGACAGACACACGCGCGGGGGACCGGAGACCGCCCAGATACCCAAGATGCCCACTGGGTACGGACCGAGTGACGCGCGGTGATTTCGGCAGCCTGAGACTCGCGGCGGGTCCGGAGGGACTGGCGGACGCGCACTGGGTCAGCTCAGACGCGAGGCGGTTCCGGACAGATGCGGGGCGGAGTCAGGAGAGAAGGGCAGATGCCCGGCGGGCGGGCAGAGCGCAGACGGATGGACAGGGATTGTTCCCTGCAGGACAGACCGACCCAGGGACTAAAAAGCCTGTAGCTGTGGTGGGGCGAGCGGGCGGGCGGGGCGCAAGGAAACCCGGAACCGTGCTAAGGAACTTCCCGCTTCTTCCCGCTTGCTCTCTGCCAAGATGTAAAAAAAAAAAAAAAAAAAAGAGAGAGAGAGATTGAAAAGGTTTCTAGATTTTTTCTTAGTTTTAAAAATTTATTTATTAATTTAAAATATTACGTTTAGGCTGCTGACCCCACAATCAAGTCAAAGGAGGTGACGATCTAGGTGGAGAGAACTGTCAAGTTGTTGTTTTTTTTTTTTAAAAAACGCGTTCCCTAAATTATTTCTGCTTAGGAAATAAGATATAGGTTGCATACTTTCCTGAGTGCTTTGGAAAGTCAATTGACAGCTGATCTTGACTTCCAATCCAGTGCTAAATGATCACAAGGTCAAATAAAACACATGCCCATTTTGTGGTTGGCTTTTATTCTTACTCCACTAAACTTCAGCATATCCCGAGGTAATAGGCAGAATTCTTTTTGCTGCTCCAGTAATATTAAGAAGCAGGAGTATTAATAGTATAATATTAAGGAGTAATAATAATATGAATTATTAGAGAGCCATAAAATAACTTTTAATGGTACTTAGTGAGTGGCTCAGCTGGTAAAGAATCCGCCTGCAATGAGGGAGACTTGGGTTCGATCCCTGGGTTGGGAAGATCGCCTGGAGAAAGGAAAGGCTAATCACTCCAGTATTCTGGCCTGGAGAATTCCATGGACTATCCATGGGGTAGCAAAGAGTCTGACACGACTGAGCAAACTTTCAGTGCCAGAAAACGTTGAGGATGTGCTGCCTCCATAATCACGAATTACAAAATCTTAAAGAGAGAAAAGCTGTAATAATTAATGTTCACAGGTGAAATAAACATGAAATATATAAGCACTTTACATAATTAGTAATTTCAACTTGAATTGTCAACTTTAAAGCATTGCAGGGAACAATGCTATAAGATTAGACTCAACTCAGAACTTTCCCAAGATCTCTCTTTAGAATTTGTGGGAAACTGGGAGAGGACTGTTACCTAATCTTCAGAAAATCGCCAATGTCTGTAACGCACAACTCAACTAGCCCGTTCTTCAAGACTTCCCCTCGAAAAGAAAATCCAAACAAAACATGTCAGTACAGTTAGACTGGAAAGGATCCTGGGGAAAAATATGCAAGAGAACGTGTATGTGCTCAGTGAAGTCCTGGCTGACTCTTGGCGACCCCAGGGACTGTAGCCCTCCAGGATCCTCTGTCCATAGGATTTTCCAGGCAAGAATATTGGAGTTGGTTGCCATTTCCTCCTCCAGGGGATCTTCACCCCAAAAGGTATTGTATTAAAAAGACATTCCTAGAATAAAAGGATAAATTCATGTGTTGTTTCATTTTTTACAGTTTCTATTAGTATAGTTGACTGAAGATGACTGTTTACCCTCATTATTTACTCAAATGCTTTGTAATTTTCTTTACTGAGCTCTTTTGCTTGTATTTTCTAGGATTCTTGCTTAGCTAAGACATGGAGACTGTGAGAAAAAGCAAATACAAATTTAAAAAAAAGTTATAGAGATAGACTAATATAAAAGCTGGTCTTAAATAGCACCACATTAACCCACATGTAGAAACACTTGTGAACACGTGCTTACTTTATTGTCCTTAGAATATAAACTTTATAAACATCTTTCCTCATAATATTAATTAACAATGGGCTAGAATTTGTTTTCATTTTTCTGATTTAAAACTATTACTTTACCAAAAATGCTGTATTAAAATAACAACATAAAGCCAAGAGAATAATTCCCACAGTATAATTGCTAAAATAAAATCAATATTTTATTTATGTAATGATTTAAATGCTGTCCCTATTTCAATTCATTTGTATATATTTTCTCTAATAGTATAGATGAAATGGGGTTGTTGAAAATAATTAGTTTCAAAATCACGTCTTCTCTATACTTAACAGTCATTTGGGGGTCATTACAATATAAACACCTAGGGCTTCCCAGGTGGCGCTAGTGGTAAAGAACCTGCTTGCCAGTGCAGGAGATATAAGAGATGGTCGGTTTGATCCCTGGGTTGGGAAGGAAATGGCTAACCCACTCCAGTATTCTTACCTGGAGAATCCCATGGACAAAGGAGCCTGGTGGGCTCCAGTGCATAGGGTTGCAAAGAGTCGAACATGACTGAAGCAACTTAGCACAAAATAAAAATATATATATATATATATAGAGAGAGAGCATTTTATCAGATCAAAAATCAGAAATTTAGAACTGTTGTGAAATAAATGAATTTTAATAGAGTTCCCTCTGCAAAGCAGAGGTTTATGGGGAAAAGAGAATCATTTTCATGTATAATTTATTTACTCATTTTAATATTTACATTGAAAACTGTCTCTGGAATAAAAATCGGATGTAGGACATTTCTCTGACATTTTTATTATATATGAAAGGCAGGTTTATAGTCTACATAAGCCTGATTCATATGTTAAATCCATTAAAAATCCCTGCCCAGATTCCTAAGGCAGTTGATTGAGCATATCTGAGTCTTTCTAAATCTGAGAAATATTTTGCATGACGAAGGTCACCTGGACAACTGGCATTCTAAGTGCATCCCACCAAATTGTTATGTACAGTTGGTAGTAATGTGTCAGCATGAGTGGAAAAAGAGAGTTGGAAATTTATATTTCTCAGCCTTGTCTTAGCAGGCACTTGATCCTGTGTTTCCCATTAAAAGTCTGACTTGTGCAAGTTGCTGGGACTTCACAATGAAAATTAACTTCCTGCTGTCTTGAGTGAAGTCTGGGATGACTGAACAAAGTATTATAAAGTAAAACCTGTATTAAATAGGACTTGTCTCATATTTTTTAGACAAAGAAAGGAAAATTGAAAAAAAAAGGCATTAAGAATGTAGTATCAGCAGGCATTTCTGCAATAAATTTTGGAGCCAGTAGTAGTTCTTTTACTCTATTTCCAAGTATTTTATCCTGATACATGAGTATTCATGCTCTGGATGATAACCCTGAAGGCCCTTTGATAATACTTATTATCATAGAAAGATTAAACTGTGTTTATTAGAATGTACTTACTAAAGTGAGAAAGTAAATAAAACTGGAAACGTTTCAACAGAATTTACAATGAGACAGGATTTATGCTAAATTGTCAATAAATTAGAATATCACATTCCTCAATATTTAACCAAAATTTCAGTATTTTAAATTATAATGCTATAGTTTAGATATTTATGCAAATGCTGTAGCTATAGTTCATACATTTATGGCTCTAGGTAGTTTAGTGGAAATTAATATGCTTTTAAATGAAATAATTTTATATAAAACTCTAAATAGACTGGGTTTTGAATGCCTAGTAATTGCATAAATTTACATTGTAGTATTCCATGGGTTCATTTTAAATGAATAGGATCCAATTAAAAGAGCACCATAAGGAGACACCTAACTAAACCTAAATATATGTTAAGTTGTTTAAGTTGTTAAGTTGTTAAATAAGCACAGTGGTAAAATACAGCCTTGTCATACTCCTTTCCTAATTTTGAACCAGTCACTTGTTCCGTGACCAGTTCTAACTGTTGCTTCTTGACAAGCATACAGGTTTCTCAGGAGACAGGATTTTATTATTTTTTTAATATATTGAACATATATTTATTTAATGTTATTAAATAAACATTTTTTATGCTTTTAATACTCAGGTTTATTCACAGTTGGATGCATGATTTTTTAAAATTCAACAGGGATTTATTTAATGAGAGAAATGAAAAACTGTTAAACTTTCAGATGTAAAAACTGGGTTTTGAAGAGGCAAAAGAACCAGAGATCAAATTAACAACTTTGTTAGATCATGCAGAAAGGAAGGGAGTTTGAGAAAAACATCTATTATACTCCTGCTTCATTGACTACACTAAAGCTTTTGACTGTGTGGATCACAACAAACTGTGGAAAATTCTTAAAAAGATGGGAATATCAGACCACCTGACCTGTCTCCTGAGAAACCTGTATGTGTGTCGAGAAGCAAGTTAGAACCAGAAATGGAACAAGTGACTGATTCAAAATTGAGAAAGTATGACCAGGCTATATTTTGTCACTTTGCTTAT